GAGAGAAGAAAGGCAATGCATTGACCCACTGTACAAGGCTTCTTGAGGCCTTCAGGAACAAGCCTGGTGTGTTGCCAGGCTTGGTTTCCTTGTCTCGGACCAACAATTTGCCTAGGGCCACATCCTCTCTCTTTCCCCAATGGTTGCTGAAATTGAAATATTTTATTTTAGCTCCCTCCTTTCCTGCACACTTGAAATGAGAAAACTACTCGTGCAAACCCTCTCTTCTGGTCTAACCAGGATACCGTCTCCTTAGGAATGATATATTCACTTAATTGCTGTATACTGTTTGCTCTTAAGTACTCAGGAAATGACACCCTACAACAGGGCTGTCCAACTTTGGAGTGGCTAGGGGTCGCATGCTGGGCAGACTGCACCCATGTGGGCTCCCCCACTCCAAACTGCATACCATGTAGGTGTCTGCCACACTGCTGGTGCCCCTCTGTCAAACCAGCATCTCTCCCACCCCTCCAGGAGTTGCACGCTGTGTATCCCCCCCACTATACTGTGCCACACCTTGCGAGGACCTTGGATCCACCAAGTCCTGGGTTCTGCAACAATGCTACCCCCACCCTGCCCTCAGGGAGCAGGAAGCAGAAGGTGGAGGAGGGAAGGGGAACCTGGAGACCCCAGCAGCAGCATCCTCCAGAGTGGTGGGGGAAGTGGCCCTCACACAGGAGCCTGGGGTCCACAGATCAACGCCTCATGAACCTCATGCAGCCTGTGGCTGCCAGTTGGATAGCCCTGCCCTACCGGGTAGATTTTTTTGGAAAACAGGCTATTCATTACATGGTTATTGTACTTAAGGATTTCCTCCTCCTCTATCTTTTAAAATAAAAGACAGAAAAAAGATAAACACAGTGGTTTTGAAAATTACATTTAGAAAGAAAAAAGAACTTGTGAATCTGTTTGTAGTGGCTGTCATTGGCTTATTTTTCTTCTAATTGTTCAAGTATGCTATCATCTTCAGAAGGCCAGTTGTGATAGGGCGTGTGTAGATGAAACGGGGGCCCTAATTTGAGGTGGTGAGTTTTAAAAAAAACACCGCTTCAATTTAGGGCTGATTTAAACCCCTGTGTCTTGCACACACCCTGCTGGCTGACTTGCTTGTCCGGTGTGGACGTGAGGGCTGTGGACGTGAGGAAGAGCTGCCAGCGGGCGGAGGGGTCTTTGGGCTGCGGGGGAGGCTGGTGCTTCCTTCCGCGGTAGGGGCGGCACTCCCACAGGCAGCGCCCACCTGCAGGCACCCGGCTCAGGTGGTCCTGGGGAGCACCACAGCCGCAGAGGGAAGCATCAGGCCCCTGCACAGCTCTCTCAGGCAGGCAGGCAGGCAGGCTCTGGGGGGGAATCAGGCTTGCTGCTTTTCTTGGGCAGAGCTGCTTTCCCGGGCTACTGCCAGGCTGCCTGCAGGGCTTTCTGCAGAGCCGTGGAGCTGCATGGAGCCCAGTGCTTCACTCCACGGCTGTAGGGGCAGCAAACTAAAACTCCTGGAAGGAATTTTAGTTTGCTGCACCCAAAGTCATTTAAGGCGCATTATGCTGCTGAATTTCCTATAGCAGGTGGAATTAATGCACAATATGCTGCTGAGGTGTGCAAGCACCAACACCATTAAAGCAGTGCAAAAGCATTTAAAGTGCTGTGCACACATGCCTCTTGTTTCATCTGCACACAGCCAGAATTAACCAAATAGTGGATTTACCTTTTTTCCACCCTAGAGAAATACAATTTATGTAGTTACTGGGTGTGCTAAAGCAGTTATCCAGTAGTTCTCAACCTTTAACTTGAAGCACCTCTGGAAAATGTGATTTCTTAAGTTTTCACTCAGGTTTTGACTACAGAAAAATAATAGAGCAATTCTGTTGCAAAGAACTCAGTAAGATTACAGCAGGTGAGCAGGTACCTAATACTGAATTACTATTGGAAATCTCTGGGTTTACCTGATGAATGATCTTTGCTCACCTACCAGTGCAGCACCCTTGAAAGTATCTGAAGGCACCCCAAGGTACCATGACACCCTGGTTGAGAATCAGTGCCTTTAATGTAAGTGCTGGGAAAGAAACAAAATCTTGTGGCTTCCAAGTGTAAACTGTGTGGCACCCACCAGATGGTGCTATTACAGATAATATTCATTGTTGTTTTATATTTAACGTGTGACGTTAAATCTTGAAAAGTGATATTACTGGTATTTTTACCATGATGATAGATTTATTCATAGTTGTAGCATGGGCTAGAAATCAACAGGTAATGTCTCGTTAATCTTTTTTAATATAAAAACTCCTACCGGTTCTATTTGTCCCTAAAAATGCTATAGCAGTCTCTAGCTAAGTAAATGGAAATTGGAGAGGACTCTGCTCTAACTGAAACTTGATTTAATCATGTGGCTCTTACAAAAATATAGCTTACTGCAAAAATTACTAGTAATCAGACATTCTGTCACAAACAGACAGTGAATGTACAAGTGAAAACACTTACTGCTGTCCTGTCACAGACAGAGACAAAGAATGTTTCTATGGGAGTTTGTATCCACTGATAATGGGCTAAGTGGTAATTGATGCCAGCTGCATAAAATCACTAAGAGGGGCTAACCAGCTGCCTCTGTCTTCCAAGAAAAAAGGATGTAGCTTTGTATCCTTTCCTGTGAGTGACAGTCTCTCTCCTCAATCATTTTAAATTTACCCTTTGTCTTTGTGATGAGAGGCCTCAGCAAATTGAGGACCTAATAGGAGCAACTGTGCAAGGAATAATAGTGTATGCAGCAGGATGTGAGGTTCTTCTGTACAACCTTGCTTAAAAAAGCACCTTAATCTGAACGTGCAGCATCCAATTCCAGGTCTCTCATGCAGGAATTGGCAGCTATCTTACAACCTGATTGTTCAGCAAAGCATATACTAATGGGAAGAGCCGGGTAGGGAATGGTTTTCCTGTTCTGCAGCAAGGTCTTTTAAAAAATGTCAGGTCTCAAATTGGGATGAAAAGATAATTTCTGCGAATAAACAAATCATGAAAAAACATGAGTTGATTGAAAGTGTGTGGTTTTTTTTTTTAATATCAACATTTCTCATTCAATTTCTATTTGTTTTAAAAACAACATTTCAAAACAAAGTTATTTTGAATTGAAAATTGAAAATTTTCATTTAAATATGTTGAAGTGGAACATACTTGACAGGTGAAAAAATGCTCATTGAATCAGTACAGTGAATCAAAACCAACCTTTTTTCACAAATAACTTTGGTTTTGATCAACCCCTTTTTTTCCCAGGGTCCTTGATCTGCTTTAGTAATGGGAAGGTTACCACATTTTTACTTGCTTGTCTTTGCTGGAATGCCTGGAGGCCTCAGGTCTGTTAGCTTTTTAATTTTGCTGGGGATCATTAAATGGAGAATGTGTCATCTTTAAAGACCTAGTGACATTAAGAGCAGTAGAGCTATTCTCCTCTTTCACTGAGAGTTCAAACTTGATTGAAAACGCACATGAAATGATAAGCATGGTCTTTTGTGCTATGGACAAATGTCCATTGGAAACTAAATTGACAGTTTGCCATGATAGAGCACCACTTGTGGTCTTAGTTTGGGAAAAGGTTCAGGCCTGAAATAGCACAGTTGCTCTAGCAAGTCACAGGGTAACGTGCATTGACAATCTGATTTTGCACTGTCTGTGTGTGACTTGCTGTTATAGCCAGTTGTTTGCTGTCTCTATCAATGTAATACCTCACAAGCTTTGCTCCTAAAGTCTACTGGACTGAATGGAAACCCAAACTATTGGACTGATTCTGTTCCCACTGAAGTCAATGTGAATGTGGAATATTTGAAGTTTTGTCTGTGGATTATGTCCTTTTTAAGCAGTGTACTTCTGCCTGTACCAGTAAGCATGGCCAGCAATCGCAGTATATCCTCTTTCATACCATTCCCTCTGTAGACAGCCATGCTGCCTTCAGGCATGTGTTCTGCCTCTCGTTTGCAGGCCACCCCAACCCGCTCACATTAGCAGCTACTGGTACTTAACCTCCTGTAAAACAAACAGCCAAACAGCATAAATTTCAGCTGTTTCTGATATCATGTCTACTGTGAACTATTGCAAAAAACTTCTTCCTTTGGAAAATAAGCTGTCTTCAGCCTGAGTTGGTGCTATGTAGGAGCATTTTACTAAGGGAAGAAAAAAGAAACCTTTCCTCTGTCTTTGTGTATGGTATCCTGTTTACATATTGGACTCCTAGCCATGCTCTTCCTGATGCACTTGCTCTTCCTGTGTACAACCATGGAGGAATGACCTGTGGGATGCAGGGCAAACGGCTCATTTACATGAGTAAAGGGACTTCCAGAGCTTCCAAGTTGTCTTCCTGAAGCCGAATTAGTCTGTCTGCTGCTTTTGGCACAAGATGGGCTTCTGTGTAACCCATTTCCTGTAAAGACTCAGTCCTGAAGGAGAGCATACTTTAATGGTAAAAACCCGTGCCACTGAGTGGTTTGCATGGGACTTATATAGAATTGGTCAAATGTTATAGTCAGTCGTGTGTCCGCCTCCCCCCCCCCCAACTCAGGGTTTTTTTGCTGCTGATAATTGATCCATTCTAAATTCTGTGGCTTTAATAGAAAGTTTATTAGAAACTGTCTGTGCCATGACTGCAATAACCCGGCTGACTTGTGAAAAATGGATCTTTTTGGTCTTTCAGAAGTCTTTTTTCCAGTTACAGAGAAATTCCCATGTAATTATCAATATGTCATTTAAACTATGGGAATTTTGTGGAATTCTTATCAATTGCATGTATTTTCAGTCTTTTAATGGTGTCAGGATTTCTGAAGTTCTGGGAGAAAAATGCCTGTTTCAGGTATTTTTCCCATAACAAATCCTGACAATCCTATAGCACCAAGCCAAACTATTCATTGAGCATGCTGCTGGTATAACTTGAATTCTCTTCCTTTGTATCTACCCATTCATGTGAGTGTGGAGGTGATAAATAATGCACATCATATAAAATGCATGTTTTTTGTTTTGTTTCAAAGGATGAAGAAGAAGAAATCAAGCTGGAGATAAATATGCTAAAGAAGTACTCTCATCATAGAAATATTGCAACCTACTATGGTGCTTTCATTAAAAAAAGTCCTCCAGGGCATGATGATCAGTTATGGGTAAGCAGATGTTTCTCAAGTATGCTCATAGGCCTTTTCCCCTTTGCTTATTATTTGAGGACAGCAGAAAGATCATGTTAGGTAATACAAAGTAATGGAGTTTGATATTTCATGGCAGGATCAATCAGATGAATTGTACTGGTGCATCCTTTAGAGAAAAATTGTTCTAAGATTTGCTATTAGCATTTGACTTATTTAAATCACTTTATTTTTTCTCAGGTAGATAATAATGCACTTAAAGAAAAAACAGCTGAGCAGCAAGAAAATATAACCATTTTGCCTTCTTAAATTTCTCCTTTTTTAAGATTTGGGGTTACCCAACACTAACATTTTAATGATGTTGATAACTGTTAGGCATTTTAAAGACACTGTGGATATCTCTACACTTGTATATTAATGCAGAGCAATAAACTCTGGTGCTTATTGCTACGGAGTTTATTGCTCCTGGGCACCGCATATACTCATGTGCCTGAGACTGCAGCGCATTGAGCCAAGTTGGAGAAGTCCTGGCTGGCAAGGAGCCTGGGCGGTCAGCTTCCTAGCCTGAGGCTGTTGTGACCCGACTCAATGTGCTGTGGAGGGGCTAGCTGGGTTATGACGGTGCTCTAGCATGGGGCTAGGTAGCAGGCAGCCCCAACACTGAAGCCTCTTTGTGTCCCAGCCAGTTGTGTCAGTGTCTGCATGTGCATTGCTGCAGAGTAAAAAACTCTGTAGCAGGGTATATACAAGTATTACAAATACTGTCGTGTTGTGGGGTTTATTAGTTTAGTCTAGCCGAAAAGTCCTGCATGTGTAGATGCAAGATGTTTACTGCTGAGCTAATTAGTCAATTTGGCGGTAAGCGACTTACGTAGATGCACCCTCAGTGTATGGTGTTGAACACATTCTCTCAAAAAACACTTAAACGTAATTTGTGAACACATACTTTAAATAAAACTCTGTGGAGTATAGGAGTAGAGGTGCACCAATACATCGGTATGATATCGGCTCTGGAGTGATGTAAAGAAAATTGACTGATACTGGAAATTGGCCTGAAGTGGCTGATAATTTGGCTGATAAATGCTTGTGTATGCATGTGTGCGTGCTCAGCCACAGCACAGCATGCAGGCAGTGAGGAGCACAGTCCAGCAGCTTGAAGAGCTGTGTCCAGCTGGTAAGTCTGATGTGGGTGAATGGGTGTGGGGGGGGCCATATCAATGCTCCCTGCAGTGAGGGAGGGAGTGGGGTTGGGGCTGGCGATGGGGCTCGGGTAGGCACTGCCCAGCTGGGGTGGCGCAGGCACAGGATGGAGCCACAGCTCATTTGGTGGGGGCGGCTTCTGCTGCTGTGCTCTGCTTGTCCTGCAGCTTGTTCAGGAGGGTACAGGGTGGTGGGGCATGTGCCCCCAGATCTGCGCAGGGCAGCATGGGGCAGGGCAGACTGCAGCCACCCCAAATTTCTCTGTAGCCCACCCCAAGTGCAGCACAGCCCCCTGCCTGAGCCTGCAGGTGCAACCCGCCTTGCCCTGTCCCACACAGATCCGGGAGCATGCTTCCTTCCCCCTCCTCCCCCTGTCTGGTGCTCCAGGACGAGGGTGGGAGCAGCAGTGGGAGCCACTGGGCAAGTAGCGCACAGCAGCAGGAGCTGCCCCTCCTCCCCAGATCAGGGCGGGGCAGGGCAGGGTGGGTGGACTGCAGCTGACAGCTGGAGTCAGGGCTGCACCGGGCTCTTCTCAGCGGTGGCTGGGCTTCAGGCAGGTGGCAGCAGTGCTGGCAGGGGGGTTACAGGGGGGGCTGCAGTGACCCCAAATTTTGCTGTAGCCCCCACCCCCCATAGCCCTCCCCTCCCAGTGCTGCCAGCACCCGTCCGGTGCAGCTCTGGCTCTTCCCAGTGCGTGTGTGGAGGTGGGGGTTGAGCTAGAGCTACCCCAGGCAGGTGGTGGCAACTCTGGGAGGTGGGATTGCAGGAGGGCTATGGTGAAATTTGGAGTGGCTGCAGCCTCCCCCCTTCCCCGCCCCCGTAGTCCTCCTCCCAGTGCCGCCACCACCCACCCCGAACCCAGCCTCTGCTGAGAAGAGCCTGGCGCAGCCCGGCTCTAGCCCACAGCTGCACCCTGCCCACCTTACCCTGTGCAGATCCAGGGAGCGTACTCACTCCCTGGATGAGCTGCAGTTTCGTCCTGCGCTCCGCACCACTTCAGCTGGGTAGCACCTGCCCCACTCACTCCCTCACCGTGGGTGGCATTGATCTGCCCTCCCACACCCCTTCCCTCCCCCTTCCCCTTCCACCACAGTGGGCTTACCAGCTGGACTCAGCTCTCCAAGCTGCTGGGCTGTACTCACTGCCTGCGCTGTACTGCAGCTGCGCGCACCCATGGGCATTTATCGGCCAAATTATTGGCCACATTGGGCTGATTTCTGATACAACCAACTTTCTTTAGGTTGGTGCCGAACCAATATCAGACCGATGTATCGGTGCATCTTTCTAGAATCCCTTGGGTTATTTATGTATGTATTTATTTTTAACTTTTGAAATAAAAATATTGGAAATTTCTAAGGGATTGTCAGTGGATAGAAATTAGTTCTTAGTTCCTGTGGAATGAAAATATTTCAGTGTTGATCATTATGCATGAATGTGTTTTTTAGTTAACAGTGCCTAGCTATTTAAGAAGCTAAGATATAAATATATGTGCAATGCCAGCAGTTGTTTCTGACCCTTGTAAATAAATGGGAATTGCAAAATAAGAAGTTTTGGGATGGTGTGATCATTTTAACCCCTCAGCATAGGCCAGGCCACAGCAGCCACGGTGAACCACCATTTTATTTTTAGTAAGTTTGAGGTTTGCGGGGGGGGGGCAGTTGTTTTGGTTGTTTTGTAGCTTGTGCAGACAATGTCCAATTTAATTTAATTTTTTTTAGTGTGGTTTCCATGAAATCACAAATTGAGTAGGTCCCTACTAATGAGACATGTTCTATATGCGTGACATGCATCAGAACTGTGTTTACCTCCCTTTTCCAGGCCAAGACAAGGTATTTGACCATTTGTCTCTGTATGAGAATAATATTATATCAAACTTTGCTGCATCTTAAACCCTGGGTTGTCTGTGAATTGTGTTCAGTACTGGCTTGTTTGTTTTTCAGCTTGTTATGGAGTTTTGTGGAGCAGGATCTATCACAGACCTTGTGAAGAACACAAAAGGGAATACTCTGAAAGAAGACTGGATAGCATACATCTCAAGAGAGATTCTCAGGGTGAGGACAGTAATCCATTGTGTCAACCTTAGTTTCTGTACTAATATGGATGGAACTGAAGAGGGTTGTTTACATTTAAGATTCTTGGGGTAAAAGCCCCAAATGTCTGCTTGCTGTGTGGAAGGACAGTAATGGCAACCTTGCAGAAAGTGGGTAACTGTCACAAGAGGCCAGCACAGAGTTTGAGAATATGTTTTTCATATCTCTAATGTGCACAGGCATGCTTCTGGAACCCCTAATTATCCATACTGATATAACAAAATTAGATTAAGGCTGGGATTTTTAAGAAATGCTTAGCACTAGGCTCTTTCCTCTGCTTACATTGAAGCTGTGGGAGCAGGGTTAGGCCAGTGGTGAGAGCTTTTTTGAAAATTCTGCTTGGAGTGCTTGCACACTGATACTTTCAGTAACTGATGGAGAAGAATGGTGTGTCATGCTCAGTCAGGCCCCTAAAATGTTTTATGGCAGTATACAATCTTACTTTTCAGAAAGATGGCTGTCCCCTGTAGTTTTGTTACTTTTTCATGTGTAATTTCCAATTGATGTAAATGTGGCACTGCTTGATCGGCATTTTGAGTGTTGTGCTGATTGAAACTGGTAACAGCGTTCCACCTCTCATCTGATAAAGAAAAATATCTTTCACTGCATATTGTTAGTAACAGTATGTGAATGGGACTGCTCTAGTAATAAAACCTGAAGTAAAGGACCGTATCATTGGACCTTATGTCAAACGTGGCTTCTGTCTTCCGCTTTTGTGCATTGTGCCAGGAGTAAATTTTGAGAAGAGGGAGGAAGACAGGGAATCTTGGCTTATTGCCCTAACTCCAGAGAGCAGTGCCGAAAGCTGTTTGCATTTGGACTGTTTTGTTGCCACTCACTAGTAAGCGGGAATGCAAGTGACAAAAATACTCAATGGCAACTCTGTTACAAGTTGCATTTATAACTGGTTTTCAACATCAGTCAAGTTGTGTCTCAATACTCTATCTGTGGTGGTTATAAAACTTCTAATAATTATTTCTGAAGTGCAGCATACTTTACCCTGCATATCTTAGATTCTCTTCCAGTAAAGTGTGAAGTCATATTTCTGGAGTAGAGTCCCTTAATTAACATCTAAAACAGTATTGCAAAAATACTGCCTCTTGTTCTTGTGAAAGAATTTTAAAGGGATGAATTGTTTGCTAGTTGGAATCTGAATGTTTTGAGAAAGCGAGGAGGCATATTGTCAGGAGGCATTGAAAAAAAAATAAAAGATTGGATTCGATGATTTTGTCTTGGAGGGAGAAAAAGATATAACCTTAGTGAGCTTAAAGTTTTGTGCAAGTGGAAATTTAGGAGAGGATTTATCAAATGTATCCTTGTGTGCTGGGTAGTGGTAGGGCAGTGGTCCAGAATTTGAATAGCAAGTCCTCCTATCCTGTTCCCAATCCAAACATGCTTTCCAGTAAGGATACAGATGTGGGAACTGAAGATTACCTTCCCAGTTGATGCAATATGGGACTGAGGCTGTACAAGGTATGTTGTGCCAAGCCACAGTAGAAGCCTTAGTTTTCACAGAGGACAAGGCCATGCTTAGTCTTAAGTCAGTGGATGGTCTCAGGAACATTAAACATTCATTGCTGTAGCTCATGACATCTATTATTTGCCACATTCATTAACTATTCTTAAAAAAAACCAAACTGTTATATAGGCAAACTAGTTAGTGATCATTTAATGAAGAACATGTGTTAGAAAATTGCTCCATAGCAATTACTACTCTTTTAACCTTCTGCAACTTAAGGTTTTCGGGTTTTTTTGTTTTTTAAAAAGAAGACCTCCCCCCCTACAAAACCATTAAATCTTTGAGGGCAGCATGAGCAAGCAAGATGATGCCACTAGAGAATAGAATTTTCTAAACAGACTGCTGAAGAGAAACCAAAATAAAGTCAGTTGCTAAGAGATTTGCCTTTTGCTCCACAAATTATATTAGATAGTAAAATATAACATACATCTTCCTTATCCTTTCCTCCACATTGTTAATGCTTTGGGGCATGGATCCAGGTGGTGTCTCAACCAAAAGCACTGTATGCCAGCAGGTTTTGTTTTCTTTGGAAAATATAATGCTGTCTTTTGTATGTATTCAATTGCAAAGAACAATAATCCAAGTACAGGAGCAAAACACCAGAACTGCAACTTTGCCAAGGTTCTCTAGTCTATTGCTTGTATCGCCTTCACCTGCTAAATAAATTTATCTCGCATTTTTCTCCTCTTAAGGATTACTGGCATTGGAAATAAGTGTGGGTTGGTTCATTTCCCATGTTAAGTTGCTGTTCTTTTACAGATGACACTATGCACATCACAACCACAGATTTATTGTCTTGAAACTTTATGGGAGTTAGTTTTTAAAGCTGCAGCTAAAAAGAATTTGTAAAGCACAGATATTGGGCTTTATTTGTTTGCAGTATGTGCGCCACTTTCGGTAGCCCCTGTTTGATTATCAAAATCTATGTGGGTGGCATGCTGTAGAAGTGTACAGTGCAACAGGGTGCATGCATTCCATGAGCAGGATCCCAAAAACCACTGCATCATAGTGTGGGTTTTTTAATAACTTCAAGAGTAACTAACCAAGCACTTTGTCTGTGTCAATTTGGACTCTATGGGACTGCTGCTAAGTAGAGGAGCTAACCTTAGATGTATGTCTTTTTTTTTTGTTCAGGGCCTGGCACATCTCCATGCCCACCATGTGATTCATCGGGACATCAAAGGGCAGAATGTATTATTGACAGAAAATGCAGAGGTGAAGCTGGGTAAGTAGGCAAGAATATCCACTTGATGTTTCTCACATTCATTTTATTTCTTTAGAATGTCACATGCAATAGCATGTGATTTATATAATGCTATTTATCTGTAGATATAGATATATGAAATTCGGTCACTGCTGCAATATGAATGAGGAGACTACCTGCATTTCCCCTCATTTTCTAGGAATACTGGGATCAGTGGATAGATTACTTTGTACCCCTTACTGACTTTGAATGGCTAAGCAGGTCAGCTTTAACACCAGCATTGACTTTTATTTTGAATTCAGAAGCCACCAGCAAAACAGCAATCAGTGGGTGTCTGTATCTGGCTATAATTAAAGAAGCATCTGTTGCTTGGGTTCGAGACAGACATCATATAGCACTTACAGCTAACCTGCAGCATATGGCCCAGATGCCTGTTGGAGCTGCTGGGATACCTGTTTAGAGCTGTTGTCATTCCTGGTCTGGCCTCTAGGCTCCAAGGCAACGTATGCTTTCATGCCAGCATATTTTTGCCTCTTCCAGTTATTACACTCTTTATTATCCTGCATTTATTGTATTATAAGCTTGTCAGCTTTTTTGGTTAATTTATAATTTGTTTAAAACATGCAAAAGGAACTCGTTGCCCCAAAATTATTATAAAGACTGATACTTTTAACCAGGTTGAAAAGAGAATTGATCAAATTCATGCAGAGGAGGTTCACCAATGGCTATTAAACATTATAGTTAGAGCTGCAAGGTACAGATTAGGACTTCCTAGGTCTCTGGATGATGTAAACTATAAAAGGGGTAGGATCTGTCTGGATAGGCCCTGTTTAAATAATCTTCCGTTAGCACTCCATCTCTGCTGCTGCAGGAGAGAAGATACCAGGATAGATGGACCAGTGGTCTGACGCAGTCTGGTGCTCCTTATGTTCTTTAAATCAGGCTGAAGCATTCCTCTTCAATTTGTATCCCTTGTGTTGTACTGTATCTTCCCTTTAGCTGAAACTGAAAGGTGTCCTGACTGGTGGAATGGGGACCTTGTGTGTGGGTTTCCGAGTGGGACACAATAGCTGCCTCTTAATTCTGTAAGGTTTATTTACACAATGTAAATGGCAAAAAAGCCAAAACGTAATTACTACAAAAATGGATGTGGGTGAATGTGCCTTTGGTGTCTATGCTGATATATGCCAATTTTTTTTTTTAAATAAAGGTGCTTATATCTGCATTAAATTCAAATTGAGCAAAGCAGTTTTACCTGTATTATCAGGTTTGTGCTAGGGGGGAAGGTGAGGACTGCGCCAATTTAATAAGTAGGTTTTTCTGACAGTTTAATTTACTGCTGCAGAAACTGCATAGACTGGTGATTGAGTTGGTATTTCTTAAATTTTACTCCATTCTTATTCCTGCCTGTGCCTCCTCCATATGAATTAGAGTGGGAAGTAATCTTATGACTAGTTCTTTTCTTTCTGTCCCCGATTTTTGAGCAGAGAATATTGTAGCCCAAGGGGCAACAAGCTAACAGTACTATCATTGCATGAATGCCTGTGGAAGACAGTTACCCTGTATGGGCCAGTTCTCCTGACCCATGACTTGTGGAGGCAGCTGTTCTTCCTCGCCACCAAAATCAATATTGTTGAAACGGTAATCAGAAATGTAACTGGGTAGTTCTACATTCTGGATGGCAGTGACTGCAGCTGGGCTCTTGGTGGGGTACAATGGGCCCCTCTTCCTTCCCCCTGCCTGACGCACACAGACAGAGACGCACATACCCCCTCCTATCTGTGCAGGAAGATGATCTGTAATGTGAGGTGCTGAAGAGCAAATTGTATATTGCTGGATCTCCTGACTGTTGTGGTATTGAGTATATTTTGTCCAAAGAACAAGGATTCTGATTGCTTGAATGGTTTCTCTTGACCTTGGTCCTCTCACCCAGAGCTTCCATATGGCTTTATTTTTCAAATCATTTTAGAGAAGTAATCACAGCATGTTTTTTTTTCTTTCTCTCTTGTTTTATTTTCATCTTTTTCCACCCACAGTGGATTTTGGTGTGAGTGCTCAGCTGGACAGGACAGTTGGCAGGAGAAACACTTTTATTGGAACTCCTTACTGGATGGCTCCAGAAGTTATTGCCTGTGATGAAAATCCTGACGCTACATATGATTACAGAGTAAGAGAGCCCTGTTCACACAGTAATAAAAAGTACATCTGCTATCTTTAACGGCTTTGATTGAAGGCAGCTATTATGTCTTTTGTATCTTTTGTGAGAGTAATTTCTTGTAGACCTACATCTTTCTAACGAGAGTACTGTGTATGGATCATTACCAGTTTATTATCTTTAAATATTAGTAAAAATTAGTACATGTATTGCATGCTCCTAGAAATTCTGCCCAAGGTCTCATTGTGTTGAGATGCTGAAAATAAGAGTAAAGAGGAATTTTGGAAAAGTTGTTACATTGTCATGAATTACTATAATAATTTAATTTTAAGGTCTGCCCCAAATAAAGCCATCATGTGAAAGGGGTACTCTTGTCTGAGTAGAAGGGTTAAGTGGAAACGTAAATGGAGCTGGTTAATACATGTCTGGTCCTAGTATGAGATGACATAATTGTTAAGAAGAATGAATCTATCAGATATACTTTCCCTCATCTCTACACACCTCCGCTGTTACCTCTAAAATTGTTTTGATGTGCACCTCCAATTTTTGGTTCGCTGTGTTTCCTGTAACTATATCCCTTTAATAAAAGCATTCCTTTTAATAAAAGCTCCAGGTGCGTTTTACCTTGTTTTCATGGTGGCATAGGAAAGGGAATAACATACAAAATTTGCAGCTCTCTTTATTTTATTTGAGTCAAAAACACCTCCTTAAACTGAATAATCTACTTGTGTATGCATAAACATACTGAAGCTGTAGTGAATTGGATTGATATTTTCAGCTCATTTCTCTGGACTAATTTTTTTTATATGCACTTCAGTCTACTTGTTTTCATAGTTAGTAGGGTCGGAAGGGACCTGAGCAGATCATCGAGTCCAACCCCCTGCCATGGCAGGGAAGAGTACTGGGGTCAAGCGACCCCAGCAAGGTGTTCGTCTAGCCTCCTCTTAAAGACCCCCCAGGGTAGGAGCCAGTGCCACTTCACTTGGAAGTTGGTTCCAGATCCTAGCCGCCCTGACCATGAAGTAGTGCCTCCTGATAGCTAGCCTAAGTCTACCCTCTGCCAGCTTGTGACCGTTATTCCTGGTCACTCCTGGCAGTGCTCGGGGGAACAGGGACTTCCCCAGTGCCTGCTGGTCCCCCCTGACTAGTTTGTAACAGGCCACTAGATCCCCCCTCAGCCTTCTCTTGTGGAGGCTGAACAG